TTGTACATGTGAGTCACAACCAGCTCCAGAAAGCATCCGGTGATAGTTTTAATAAAATCTCGTAATAAATCTTTAATGAAAGCTGAGCAGTTTTGGAGGAAGCTTTGAATTTTGCATGCAGAGAGTACAAGTAGACAAATTGGAAGAAAGACTGTTTTCAGTAATAGGTGATTAACTTTTAAACTGTGTTTAAAGGGAGTGTGGTAAGGTACTGGGGAGAAAGTTCCTTAGCTGGGAATAAAAGATTCTCTGTCGCTCACTTAAGTCATCTGTCAGCTGGGCAGATCCCTGGAATCCGTACCAGAATCATCTTCAGGAAGCAATGAGAATTATGGAATAATTTACTAATGCTTTATTTTGGGAAGACAGAAACTTTACAGTGTGTTGGAGCTAACAAAGGTCTCCCTTTTCTTTCATTTTGATAGATAGCTTGCCAGATGAAACCATTTGAGATTTGAAGCCTCTTCTAAAAGCAGCTATTCGCATGCAGTTGAGAGATTTCTGCTCATCTCAGTTGCCTGTAGGGAGTAAAAGATGGGCAAGAAATGGTTGCTGTGATTAGTAAACTCGTTTATCATCAACGTTTGGGAATTCAGGAAAAAGGTAGCTGTGACTCACTTGAGAAGGAACTGAGTAAACTCATGCTGCTAATAATTCAGCTTTGTTATGGGCACAGAAATATTTATTTACTCATTCCCATGACTAAATTTATTTGCTGGTCTCACAAGAAGTTATAAATCCATAACTGCGTATGGCTTGCGACTTTTGACTTATACAATCTCATGGAAAAAGTTCTGGTTTTGTCATCCGCTCTCTGAATTCCTCAAAATTCTGCCTGAATTTCTTCTCTTTACATAAAATGTCAGTTGTTCTCTGCCAGCCCACTCTGTCTTATTTAGATATTTATTTAAAGTATGAATACCTAAAAACCAGCTCTGTCTTTATACTATTCCTGGAAAAGCGTGTGTCCTAGTTTAGGTGTGGCTTCTGGATGGATACTGCTGGATTATAAATAGCACGTAATAGAAGAGCCATAGGACAGTCATCAAATAGTCTAAATTTTCTGCTGACTAAACACTTATGATTCATTAGCCATGGGGAGGAAAATGGTACATGTTTTCCCTATGGCAAGTTGACAATTGTTTCTGGTTTTTAGAAGGAAAACCTGGGCAAGGCTGGATTTTTTAGAAACATCAATATATACTTCTCTTCACTCTCTTTTCATCTGTGCGCTTTCTTAGTCTCCATTAAGGGTCTAATCTGGACAAAATATTAGGAAATTTAACTTGTACCAGCTACTTTGCTCGGTACAGAGGTCATTATCGTGCTTAATAGTTATGACAGAAAACTGGCAAGTAGTATTCTAGGTTTCTGTCCAAGTTACACTCCAAGTGATGTTGAACTGTATCTCACTTCAACCATCTATAAATTAGAGTAACACTTCTATCACAGTGTTGAGTTTAATTAACTAATAATTATAAAGCAATATGAGATTGCTTGCTATCATTACAGCTATAGCAGAATTCAGCCACAGGAAGTTGATTTATTTTCTTGGAGTTAATTTTAATTTATCTTTTTTTCTGTTTCAACCACACCATCATGCCTTTGGTGGGGAGGGGAAATCTCTTCTTCCTGTCAGCCCTCTTATAGAAACCTGACCTGTCCCGTTAAAAATAGGGTGCCCTTAAAGAGATGGGCCACTTAGATGATAATTCTTTATAAGCACTATTTAGCACAAGTATCATCATGCTGTTTCCTCAAGAAACTAAAAGTGCTATGTCAGTTGGAAAAAAGATGTCTGAGGGTACTAATTATGCAGACAAAAGTACAAATGGGCCAGATCTCTTAAAAAAGGAGTGAGATAATGACTTCTTTGGCAGCCTGTATTTAGTATATATTGCATCTTTACTTCCCAATCCATCTTTGAGCTCTCTTTTTCTTGTGTTTAGGGGGCTTTTTTTCTTTTTCTGTATTTGCTGCAAAAGAAAGAGTTAGTCTTACACATGCTGCCAGGTCTTCCTGCTGTCAGTGTTGTTTCCTAGGCTTGGCAGCAGGTATCAAGGCTAATCAGTGATGGCTTTCTCCAGGGACCTCTCCATAGCTGAGCCTCAGAGAATGGCTTTGCATCCACCCAGCCAATTTCTCAAAATCCTGCTTGGTTTTATACTGAGCATCTCCAGGTGGAATTTAAACATAAAGGATCAGTCTGAAGACGCCATGTCAAAATTGAACTGTTTTGTTCAAGGAATTTTAATGAAAAGCTTCCTAGTATATGTTTCTTGAAGCTGTAGAACATGTAGAGTTCTGCTCCTCGTGCTAAAATACAGAATAGAAATAAAAATCAAAACGTGGATTTTGAAGTCATAGCTCATATGCCAAACCTAGCAGTGTGATCACAAGTGCCAGGCACAAGAAGACAAAAAAAACCAAACCAAACCAAAACCAAAATAAAACTAAATACAGGATAAGAGAAAGGGCAATTTGCATTGAAGGCTGTCACTTCATCCTTCACTCACTTTATGGTTCTTAGTCCCTTTGGGATTTTAAATATTTAACTAAAATAAGTTATTAAATCTTGATGTTGTTTCTCAGAAGTATTTGAAGATCACTCTCTGTGTGCTAAATTTTAATAGTGGGTGGGACTTTTTTTCATGGATTGAAAACAGAAATCGTTTTCCAGCTGAGGGCATGGAGACCCTCAATGGACAAACTCAGAGTAAATGAGAGTGTAGATAATTTCTCTGGATTGAAAGCTGTCAGCTGCAAAGCCCTGTCAGCTTTATACAGGGATTGTGGAAAACTGCAGATGAAATGCTCTGCAAGAAAAACGCTTGTTTCTGTTCTGTTCTTTGAAAACACAGTGTATCTTTTTCTGGTGCAATTATTTGAGTAATGCAGTTAGTGAATAGAATTACATTTTATTTTAAAATTTTAGCCCACAAGCATTTTCTGTCTCTCCTTTTAAAAACACAAATTTAGGAAACGTAACTTCATCAATAGCAACTGTTGGTTCAAGTTAATGTGATTCCTTACCAGCCATGATCTAATTTCAATAATTAATTTACATCAGTGTATCTGTTCTGCATGTGAATTATCTTGACAAATAAGTTAGTGTGTTTCAAATAAGTAGCTTGCATTCCTGTACTCTACCATCTTTCTACAGCTATTTTGGATATAATACAAATTATATCTGGAATTTCTCTCTTCCAACTTGTTCTACTCTGTCACTAAATAAACAGAGCAGGTCAAACTGTTTGAAATTATATGTTTTCTGTGGCAGTGGCTGGTTTTTCCCCTCCAAAATTTCCCTTCTACAGCTTGAATCAAATAACACAGTGGCTAAGTAGTAGATTTGCACTAAAGCACTACTTAGCAGTTATGTCATTTGGAAGAACACAGTCATTATGAGCACTAAAACACTCTCTCCATCGTGTAAAAGGAAAATGTCAGCCTAGAGCGAGTTACATGAACTTGTGACTATACCTGGTGTGTAGGAAATGGAATAGAACCCTTATATGGTTTTGTAAATCACCTTCAGTGCTATTTTATAACGGGAGTATGGTCAACACCACAATCTTTCATTTCATTGCCCTTAAGGGAAGCACAATAATACTGTCCTGTGCTTTACATTCATTGTCCATCTTTTTGTGTCTTCTGGAAGCAGTAGTGCACAGGTCAATCCACCACAGCCCTGCCCTTCTTTCTGAAGGGAGAACAAAGGACATTTTGAAAAGATGTTCTTCAGTTGGTTTACAAGTCATTTGACTGGTGCCCAAAACCTGCCCTCTTCTTATTCTATAAATAATGAGAATAAACAACACATTATAAAATATCTGTGTTGCTTGAATACCTTTCAACCTCCATGCTGGGAGGTCAAAATCCTGGGAAGGTCTATAATTTTTGTTCACAGTATGAAAATGTCGTTTAAAGCTGGAGGAAAAGGAGGAAAGTGTCTTGAGCGAACAGTAACTGTCTGTTGATGAAGATCCTGACAAGTTCTGGGGTTTATTGCATTAGCTCTGACTGAGTTCTTAAGTGAATCTAAAGTTCAAACTTTTGTGGGAGATGTTTTAGATCAAGAAATATTAGGTGATTGAAGGGTCGATCTTTCCTAAATTTCCTTTCAGATTCCTTCTCTTCAATTAGGTAGATAAATTGAAAAAGCCCTCCTGATGCTGACGCTGTGAAAGCAGTAGCTGAGGACACTGTCAATCCGGGATAATACCTCTAGTGACTCACACTTAAATGGCCTTCCTTCATACCCTAGGAACTGTGTCACCCTCAAAGCCTCTTGAGATTTTCCTTCCAGGAATAATTCTAATCCTAAACTATGAATCTCATAAAGAGATTCCCAAATGAAAACTCTTTTCTGTCCAAAACAAGCCCAGAGGATTACTGCTCCCAGTAACATTTTTGTGAAGCTGAAGTTAAATTTGTCTTCTCTGCGCTTTTATTTTGGTTGCTGTCATGACATAGTGCTTACAGTGATTCCATCTGACAACTAATGAACCATGAATCCAAGGAAAGTTTAGTGTTAGATACCTTCCAATGAGGCATTATATCAAATAACCTATCTTCTGAAATCTATTGTCATCTGGATATCGCCCTTATAGTATTTGGCTGATATTCCTGTAGTTGTATAACCTAAGGCTGATGAGGAAATAAAAGCACAAAGAATTGCTACCTGCTTAAAAATTTATAGTGATGGATTTGGGTGTTTAATCATTCCATTGCAGGAAAAGAGCTGCCCGGAAGCTGCATGGCATTTGTGAATTGCTCTTCTCTCCTGTCATTTCTCTCTGCTTTTCTTATAAATATTGCTAAGCGCAACCTTACTTTACAACAAGCAGTTTCTTCCGTGCCAAGTCTGACAAGTGTCTTTCACGTCTTATTTGTTTTATTTTTCAACATGTTTTAGTAACTCTGGTTTGAAAAAAATTATTGCTTTCTTAATGGTGATGTGTAATCCTATACAAATAAACTGTGTTTTATATTGACAGTGAGAGAAGCAAAAAACCTAATTCCCATGGATCCAAATGGACTTTCAGATCCTTATGTTAAACTGAAGCTCATCCCAGATCCTAAGAATGAAAGTAAACAAAAAACAAAAACCATCCGTTCTACTCTGAATCCAGACTGGAATGAGTCATTCACGTTGTAAGTTTAACACCTTTTAATGTAGTGTCTTTGTATGTATTGAATCATTCATTTCAGTGCTGCATTTGAAAACTCCTTTCTTTCTCCCCTTTTTAGTAAATTAAAACCCACAGACAAAGATCGCCGGTTATCTGTAGAGGTCTGGGACTGGGATCGAACAACCAGAAATGATTTCATGGGATCTCTTTCATTTGGGGTGTCAGAGCTTATGAAGATGCCAGCCAGTGGATGGTAAGAGTTTCTGAAAACAGAGGAGAGAAAATATCACAAAAAGTTTAAAACCAGTTATTTTTCTTCAATGCACTCTACCTTTTTGGAGCTTTCCACTGTATCTCAGGCTCTAAATTCAATGAAAATGCAACTAAACCTAGAAAATAGAGGCTATATATAACAAAGGAGGCTAATAAAAGAAATGCTTTTGTGATCATGCAACTTCTGCTGGAGCCAGGAGCTGCTGCAAACTCAATTCTGTGTACACAGTCTTGTGATATGAATTTTATTTTTATCTCAAATATTATATATTTAGTGTATCATGATATATATAGCTCTGCAAATTCAAAGTACATTGGAACTGATTTATAAAATGCCATGTTATTACCTAACCAGCTAAAGGTAGAACTCATCACATCTTCTCAAAAAGCACATTTCATCAAAGATCTATGTTTAGGGCTATAGAAGCACTGGAGACAAAGGTTCTTCAGGGTTGATGTCTCCCATTGTATCACAGGGTGGGTGGGAAGAATTTCTTTGTCCATTAAACTGCCTTGGCAGATAGTTTGGGATTAAAGATCTAATTTTAGCTTAAATGTATTCTGTTTCTGAGTTTGCTTTAGATGTTTGAAAGCAGTTCTTTAAGTGCCTGTGACATTAATACAAACCACGCACAAACATCTAAATCAGATTTTAAATCTAACAGGAATAAAACTGTAAAGTCACCATTTTTATTTTTTTTTTCTCAAATGTTCCACAGGTACAAGCTGCTGAATCAAGAAGAAGGTGAATATTATAATGTTCCAATTCCAGATGCTGATGAAGATGGAAATGCAGAGCTCCGGCAGAAGTTTGAGGTGAGGATGAAACACAAATGGATCCGACATTTATCACTTAAAAAAAAAAAAAAAAAAAGCCTGTTGGAAGATATGTATTAGTGCTACTATTTCTGTTGCCTGTGACAGTAGTATGTGCCTTTGGGTTTCTTGAAGATTGGGCCAAATGGTTTAATTCAGTCATGGTATCATTTTCCTGACAGTTCAGCTTCTCTGCTATGACACTTCTAAATCGGTATTTTAAATTATTTTATGTCAAATATATGTAATAATTTCAATGTCTTTTAATACTTGCTGCACAATCTGCCAGCTGTTATCACTAATATCTACATTATCTGACAAATGAAGTTCTCGGAAACAACAGTATTTTAATACTTAAAATGTTTCACACTAAATGCCTTTTCTTTTTAAATAAAACAATTACAATGTTAATTACTGATTATTTGGAGCTTCAAAATTTTTGTAGAAGGCTGTCATCTGAAATTCTGACATCTTTAATGTGGGTATGGAAGTTTTTAAAGATAAGGGGTATTGCTGGTTATGTATTGAAAAGAAACACTGAAGAAAAACCATGCTTTCTGCAGTTTTCCTGCTTTCTGTGGTGCACATTGGAGTGGTTGGTTGTCACAAGCATGGTCTCACCATGCCATGCAAAGGAGTTGTTTCTTGATGAACATGCTTAGCCAGCAACTCTGCTTCTTCTGACAACTACAGAAAATATTACAGCAAAATACTTGCTGGTGAGGTGGATTGACCTTGGCTGAATGCCAGGTCAACCTGCTCTATCACCCCCCTTCTCAACTGGATAGTTTAGAGAAATATCACTAGAGGCTTGTGGGTCAAGATGAGGACAGAGAGAGATCACT